AAAGATATGTTAAGGAACTAAGATACATGCCAAGTATGTATTAGAAGCAAGCAGATACGTTGGACATTTCACCATGTTACCTGGGCATCAAATTTTCCAGCGTTGTGCAGGAATGTCATGCAGATCTCATGTAAGCCTCGGATCTCGCAAGAATTGTTTTCAAAGCATTCAAACACTCCGCATCCCACATCGCCAGCATTAACCAGGCAGTGCTGGATTTCAGCTAAAATGAGCATTGATTACAGTTAATTTGAAGAACTGTTCAGAGAAGCTGGTGGTGGGTAAGGGGAGGGAGTTATTTTGCCAACATCATCAGTTTGAAAGTAAAAACACGCAACAACAGCTCTTGTACGCACAGCATGCCCACTTCTTGCAGAAATTAGGCCAAAACTTGGGTGTATTATGTTATGAAAGTGATATCCGAGAAGTAAATGCCAAATCCACTATACTTACAACAAGCTATTTCACTTGAGAGCTGTCTAATGCTTTTGCATTCCTCAGGAGCAAAGGATGGGCATGATTTTTGCTGCCTGACTTGTACAAAGCCCCCCATCAACTTCCAAGTGCCAGATGAGAAACCCAGGACCTAGCCAGCTAAAACTTCTAATTTCTGGTACTTTGAGCTAGTTTCTGGCTATTAGCATAATGGTTTTTGTAGACCACTGGGTTTCCCCTGTGGTGATGTCTATGAAGTTAATGGCAAAACTTCTACTGATACAGTCCTTTACACTGAGTGCTGCACAGAGCTGCAACTATGCAGAAATGAATTGAAAATACATATATATTTATATATGTAGAACATAAAATAGATGTACTGGAGCCAGCCATTACACGTGTTTGTTCTGCCCTTTCAGATGTTATGTAATACTGTAAAAAAAGAATAAATAAAAAATGCTGCCTAATACTCACTTAGCACCCCCCTCCCCAAATCTGATTCTTAACAGACACATTCTGGTCCTTAAAAAAAAATATATAAAAAAATTGATGTAGTAGTACTGCCAGAGAAAAGGTGGTTGCTGAAAAAGCCTAGGGATAAAGTTAAACAGGGGTAGTTTTTAGACCAGAACTGAGGATGCTAAGAATTCCCGTACTCTGTGCCCTAGTGGTACCTTTAATTAAAGCTCGCCCTTGGGAGCCTGCCTAATCCCCCTCCGAACCGCAGCATGCTTCAGACGTCCCCAGCCCCCCCCCCCTTTGCCATGCGGTCCATTTGCAAGTCTTTACAGCAACTTTCGGTCTAATTTCAACCCGCTGCAAGGCAGAGAGAGGAGCCGCGGATGGAAATGCGGAGTCTGAGGGAGTTCCCATGCCCTCCCCCCGGCTCAGAACCAAATCACTGCCGCTGCATTTATTTTTCCCTCCCCCTCTTCTACCTGCCCCGAAGTTGCAGCGCTGGGGGAGGGACACGGGGTCGGTTCCGGGGGTTGTCTCGGCCACAAGAGAAAAGCTGCGCAAACACGCACTGGAGGGGGGGTGGGAGGAATGGATGGAGGGGGATGGAGCTCTTTGTGGAGCGCTGCAGAGCGCGGAGCTGGGCTTTTTTTGGGGCCGGGAGCTCAGCTGTAGTGCTTGTGTTGGCATCCGGATGCAAACCCTTTGCCGGATCACATGTCCTGGCTCCAGCGTGCTGAGAACTGCACAGTGCCGTGATTCACATGTGGCAGTCCCTAATGGGCATTCGTGCATTCCTGCTCGTGTGTGTTTAAACACGTTTCGCAGCACTGAGAGTGTTAAAGGGAGAAGAAAAAAAAAAAAAAAAAAAAAGAAAAAAAAAGGCAAAAGGGAAGGGGGGAAAGAAAGGGGAAGGGGGAAAGGAGGGAAGCGTCTGGATCCCGCGCTCTCTCTTTGCACGGCTGGGAAGCGATCCAGCGAAGTGCACGCCTCAGCTTTCTTTCTTCTAGGCAGATAATACCCGGGGGAGGGAGCGCAGGGGGCGGGAGAGGAGGAGAGAAACCCCCGGCCCGTTGCATCATTGCACGACTCCCTACGGAGGAGGCAAAGCACCAGTCATTTCCAGCCGCTTCCCCTTCCCTCCCGTCCGTCCCCGTCCTCCCCTCCTCGACCCGGTTTCAAACGCTGCGCCGAGAAACTTTCTCCTCGGCAGCCCCTCGCCTCCGCGGGCCGGGGTCGGGCTGCCCAGGCGCTTCGCCCGGAGCGCGGCCGTGGCTGTTGCAAGGGCAACACGTGCTTGGCAAAGCCGGGCTTTAAAGGTAATTAGAAGGGAGATCTTATTTCCTCTGATGATTTATGCCTGACAGTCGGACGCCGGAATAAAACGCCTGTCATAACTCCATTTCCCCGGCGCTCCAGAAGCGGTGGGTGAGGGACACACACCCCAGCGCCCCACCTTCGCATCCCCCTCAAGCCCTAAGCCGTACCTGTGTTTTGCAGGGACAGGCGCCCCTTCTGCTGTGGGGTCCTGTCCTGCGGCCCCTCCGGCGGGTGCGTGGCCTCAGTGCCCGCCGCAGCCCGGGCGATGGCGAGCAGCAGGGCCAGGGCCAGCAGCTTGCCGCGGAGCTCCGCGCACATGGTCGCGCCTTCCCCCCGCCGCCGCCGCCGCGTCCTCCCCCGCGGGGTGCCGCACCCCGGCCCAGCGCGCTCCTCGCCGCGGCCCCGCGAACCGCATGTGCCCGGCGCGGCGGCGAGCGCGGAGTGGCGGTGGCGGCGCCGGAGGGTGCCTCAAATATCCCCGCCGAGCCCCGGTGTCACTCGCATGAGGGAGCCGAGCAGGTGTCGCTCCGCGCCGCGGCCAATGGCAGCCGCCGCCCCGCTCCGCCCGCCCGCCGGGGGCCGGCCCGGCTCCACCGGCAGGTTGCAGCCGCCCGCCTCCCCCGGCCCCACCCGCGCCGCGTCGCGGGGGATGGGCGTGCGGGGGGCAGCGGGTACGGAGGGCACCCGGCGGGGAGGGGAATGGTGGCGGTGGTGGTGGTGAGACACAAGTTGCTTCCCCTCGGTGGTATGGGCGGGGTGGGGGCAGCGCGGAAAATAAGGTGGAAAAGCGGGATTTTGACAAGAGCGCTGCTTGGGAGGCGGGGGAGGAGGCACTGAGCGGCCGGTCCCCCGCAGCCCTAGGGCTGGGAAGGGAACTTCGGGAGGAAGGGGGAAGCAGCGGGGGTGCCCGTGCCTAGAGCTGGCTGCCCGCGCCGGCCGTCCTGCGGCACTGCCGTCTGGTTGTAAGACTTGATTTGAAAGAAAAGGAAGAAAAAAAAATCCTTCTCCGAAGCAGCTATTGCACTGACTTTCTTGGAAACCCTCCACCCGCGCCTCCTTTTCTTTTTTCCTCCTTTTTTTTTTTTTCCCTGGGGTTTTGTACCCTGCGAACTCTGGGTGGATTTGGGCCAAATCCATCACTTGGGTGGGGGGGGTTGGGGGGTGAGAAGGGGGTCGTGGTACCTGAGGGCGGACCCGGCCGAGTGAACAGGGCCGAGCGCTGCCTTCCTTACCAAGTCCCCCTACCCCCCCGCGGCACCACGTGGGGAAAGCATCACTCCTGCAAAGCGCACCCCCGAGCAACCCCCCCAGCCGGCTCTGGCTGCTCCCTTTGTCCGCTGGCTAAAGCGGGGCGAGGGGACGGGGACACGGGCACGTAGGAAAATCTCGAGCAGGTGATGGGAAGTGCCCGTGCCGTCTTCCCTTGCCCTGCCGTAATGCACATCAGATGTTTCATCAGAACCCGCGGGTCCCGCCTCCCCCCGCAGCCCCGGGGCGCTCTGTGCCGTGCCGGGGGTCCCGCCGAGGGGAGGGGAAGCAGGGGGAGCCCAGCCAGGAATGTCTCCATCTGCTGCTGCCGCCCCTCTTCCTCACAGCTGTCAAAATGCACTTGAGGAAATCCACTCACACCTCCCCGAGCAAGGGTCTCCGCGGCGGGACGTGACACCGCGCCGCAGGACCATGGCTCCGCGTCTGCCCCCCTTCCCTTCCCGCATCCCCCGAGACATCCCCGCCGGCCCTTCAGCTGGTTTAGTCCCAGGCCGGGCGGTTTGCTTGCTGGGTCTGAGCGGTGCAAAGTTTGTTTGTCATTCTTTAGGGTTTCACTTTGAAACATCTTTTTTTTTTTTTTTTTTTTTTTTTTTTTTTAAGGCTGAAATTCTTCGCGGTGGTGCCAAGCTCATGTGGAAATTCCCTTTTATCAATACGCTGAAGTGCAACTTGCAGCTTTCCTCTGAGGAACTCGCTGCGCCAGTGTGGATGGCTGCAAAGCCCCTGTGCCTGGGCTCTGCCACTTTAGACAGCGGGGCTGTTAAAGGAATAGGTTTTACTTCCTCATTTTTACCTCACCCTGAGTGCCCGGTGGCCCTTCTTTTGTTCGTGGTCTCTTACTATGATACTGCTGAAGGATTTTGCCATTTATTTGCCTTTGCTAGGTCTAACTAGCCTGACTTTAGCAATTCCCATCTCCAGTACTTTAAGATCAGGACTGAATGAACTCAGGAGCAGCATGGAGGGAGTACAGGCAGGGGGATTTAAGGGATAGCAGTTTTTCTCTGTAGGAGGAGGTAACAACCAGTATACTGTTCCTAACGAGCAAGTTTGTATTAAACACATATATTTCATTTTTTTTTTTTCTTGTGCCTCACAAATTGTGCTTCCTCTTAATGCCTTTTCCCTGCTGCTTTAGGTCTGATGCCCTCCTGCAGCCATTTCTCATCAATCTTGCTTTTAAAGTTACAGTTTTTGGATAGGTTTTGCCCTTTTGACTGAAAGGAATTCTGTGCATCCTCCATGTGCCAGACCCCGGGTTCCTCCCTCTGGTTCGCTTTTCAGGTCTCATCATTTCTCAGAGCATGTCCTTCAAACCACACAACCCTGGCTGCCCTAGTGCAGCTCATCCTCTCCTTCAGCCAATATTGTATTAATTGCTCCATCCAAGGTTATTTTCACTTTTCCTTACCAAAACCGTGCCTAAAATAGCACCCCCTCGTGTCACTGGTGAAGAAATCTGCCGGCTGTCAGCACGCTGGGCATTCCCCATCCTTTCCTGCTCAGCAGGCATTGCTGGGTGGTGGGTGGACTCTGCATGGTAGGATTTTTCCCTGCCTTTGTCCCTCGAGGTCACTCATCAGGGTGCTGCTGGGATTAGAGGATCTGATCCCACTCAGCCCTTCCTTAGCAAGGCAATGAGCTGTGCCTGCATTTTAAAGGTGAGTGCTGGCAGGGAAAATGCGCATGATACACAAGTCATGCTCTAGCAAATTTGGCATCTTTTGGAGCGTGGCATAACTTGCTCCCTGGCAGCACAATTGATGGCCAATCTGCGTGCCAGGTAATTTTATAGAATAGTTACCAATTCCAGTGATTTAGAGGCTGGTTTCCAGGAGACTTGGGATGCCTGGATCCCTAGGCACTGTGCCTGCAGCTTTGCTCCAGCAGCAGGGAGCTTGCGTGGACACCAGCGCCTGATTGCAGGATGGCGTCCGGTTGCGAGGCGTTTGGTGACGTGTTTGTGGAGTAACACTTTGGAGAGGACCACAACTACTTCCAGCAGTTTTGAATGACTGTTGGCTTTTAGGAATACACTTTTGAGTTCCCTTTAGCTAACATACATAGGTTTTACTTTTTAAGAGGATTTCATAATTTGATTAAAACTTTGTATGACAAAGCAGTAGCATGATGAAGCAGTAACATGAGCGTTTTGCAACTGCCTTTAAAGGGGAAGCATTTAATTGTTTGGGGTTTTTAGGGAGATGAGCTACTCTCATGTTTATTAACAGGGCTGTGTCCTTGCAAGGCCGTTGCAGGCAGGTAAAGGCTGAGGAATGCTGTGCAAGAGGCTCCAGCGCACAGGGAGAGAACGAGCACTCCCAGTTATGAAGGATGGAGAGGCTGATGACTTCAGAAGGGAAGAGGATGCTGTGGGGAAGGTGTGCTGAGGTCTGGATTCTGTTTTTTTTTTTATCTGTGACTAAACACATTTCACAGTAGAGTTGGAGTAAGCTGTGCTGTGCAGCCCCAACAGCACAATGGGATTTCATCAGCCTTGAGAAAATAAGCAAGGCAGGGGAATTTAGTGTTGCCTCTTCTGCTGCGTAATTTCCCCACCTCAGGGCTTAGTGCAAGGTGCTGACTTGCAAATGACACATCATTACGAAGCCAGCCCAGAGCTGCAAAGCATTGCTGGGAAAGTGGTCGGGAGAGCAGAGGAAGCTGCCTCTTGGACTTGGTTCCTCCTGGTGTGGGACTTGCTCTGGGAACGTGTTGATTTAATTCCCACAAGTTGGTTCTCGGATGGTGCGAAGAAAGCTGCTGACAGTGACTGAAATGGGATTTGACACTGGAGAACCTGTTAGGCTCAGTAAATGTAGGTCTGCTGGGAAGCTTCAAAGGGTTGTATTTTAAGCCACTTTTCCCCATCATCGTTCATTTAGTATTTTTGAATCTCTGGTAAATGTAGTTTTTATGATGAATGAGCAGAAGTTGACAATAAAGCCGCCGAGAATGAAATGTGAGAAAAGTCAGAGCTAATCATATTTAAAATTATACAGGCTTATTTTTTTTCTTCATTGTTTGTGTAAAAATCAAGTATTTGAGAAATGGGTTTCAATGACTTATGCACCACGTTTAAAGATGGTCTGGCTTCTTTGATAAAATATGAACTATTTGAAAGATTTATAAGTGTCAGAAACCCTGCCAAACATTTTCGTATTTAGAGCAGCAGGAAACCGCTCTGTGATATTTTTAAAACAGGTATTTAGTCAAGTAATTGGTTACTTTTTATGTGGAATAAGAAAATCTGGTGCAACTGTATTGGACTTGACATAAAAGACAGGTATGTAATTTGTGAGCAAAACAGGCTGGAATGTACACATTGTACCTGGGGAAGTATTTTGAGAAAGACAACTCCTTGAGACAAAAAGCCAAACCAACAGACACGCTAGCTTGCATGCCAGGATTGTTTATCCCTCAGTTAATCAGCTGTGTAATGAGTGTCCAGAAACAATCCCTTCTGCCCAGGTAGTTTAAGTTTCAAACTTTGTAAGCTTTGCGGCCTTCATAAAATGGATTACATGGAAGTTGGATGAAAAACACATGTTTCTGAGAACATTTTGGTTCAAATACTAATAAAAAAACAAAAAGTGGCAATGTCAGTGCCAACAATTTACTAGGGAATATCTGAACCAGATGCCTCTAAACTATAATTCCAAGCAATTTGCCAGAGTTATGTATTTGCTTTATTCTTTAAGTCAAACTAAAGATATGCATGGTTTTTATTACTTGTGGATATAAACAAAAATGCGATGTGATTACAACTAATATAAGGCAGATAATGCCAAACAGTCATGATTTCTGTGACTACTGCACTAGCTAAAGCAAAATGGAAGCTCTGCTGGCGATTATGTGCAAAAGGGTTGTCAAAATGTGACTGTTCAGATTGAGACATATCAGACTGCAATCTGCTTAGTCATCAGATAAGAGCATTGGCTAAAACATCTATTTCTCCCCTTTTCTCACATCAGTGCATTCCCCCCCACCCCTGAGAGAATGGGAAAGAGATCTGCAAAACATGCTGAGTTACATTCTTAGCTAAAACAGTGCGCAGAAGGGACTCTTGGTAGGAGATACTTGTAGGCAATCTGTGACTTGCCAGTTCTTATTCAGATGAGCTGCTATCTGATGTTTGAAAAGACAGGCATTGACATCAAAATTGCCATCTTGAAAGGACAGAGTGAGTTTTAGCAGGAGTTTTTATGACATTACATGTCACTCAGGTTATAAAGGGTTCTAGCTGGCACTCCCACAAGCTGAAACAATCTTTACCTACTGTCAAGAGGCTCTCAGAAGAACTCAAATAATTGCCTTGAGTGAAGTGGCTACCTCAGTCAGCTGCGGCTTGACGCAGAGAGGTGCTGAACATCCTGTAACCCCCATATTCGCAGGTCGGACTCCAAATCAGCAGGGAGAAAAATACAGCAGAAACCAGAGAAAAGAGTTTCAAGAAGAAGCTTTGATTTAGAGAATTTTAGAGCAAAGTCACCAAAACCAAATCCCCCTGTGTGTTACAAAGAATCTGCAAAAGATTTGCAGTGGAGTCTCTGGTTTCATCCAGACAATGGCCTGCTGGGACACAGTCATTTCCGTCTCCCATCCAAGGGCTGTCGTGTCAGAGCCTGCTTGGAGGAGTATGGAAACTCATCACAGCTCTTCTGCAGAAATTGTGTTTGATTTTGGGAAAACCATGTTTTTTTATAAAGCAATAAGGAGTTACCTGGGTCCCTCATCTGAAGATCACCTGATATATAAAGTGTCTTCCTCTATTTACGTGATTCAAGGTTAACATGTGCTTCATTCCAGGTAGGATCAAACTTGGAGATGAGCTGGGTTCCACCTGCAATGCAAGATGTTTTTGTGCCTTTGAACCACCAAATCCTGAAGCAACAGCTGTAGGAGAGATGAGAATGACCACTACGATATTAATGCCAAAGCCCAATGTGAATAATTAAGTGTCATGGCTGCATAGTTGTCAGATACACACATCTTATATGTGTTTATGGTGCAGTTACATGAGGCAGAAGTTAAAGATGGGTGAGATTTGTTACTCCCACGGTGTCCTTCTCCTTTGCAGTGCCAGATTCCTCCGATGTTCTGGTTCCCTGGCTCCTCCTCCACCTCACCTCCTGAAGAAGCCGCAGGTGATACTTGCAGTCAAAGTGGACTCAACATTCCTGGCCTTACGATTCATACTTACCCTACCAGCTTGTGGCCAGGCCAAAAAACTGAAAAGCTATAGCCCATCGTGCTAGGACTATCAGAAACCCAGGTCAGGTAACGGGATTGTAATTCCATGGGGCTCGCCAAGAAGGAAACATGCCAGTGCAATTATAGTGGTAATTATAGCACCGTAGTCACCACCCACAAAGTACGACTCTGCAGAGTACAATGATTCCAGAATCAGTGTCCAAATAATATAATGCTCTTAAATTGCCTGTCCTGGTCCTCATTTGGACTGACCTCAGACTGAAAATGAATCTGGCTCTCCTGTGAATGGCCATGTGGACACCGGCAAACACAAATTGAAGGGGTAGTTTGCCTGCCTCTCCTATGCTTTCTCTCCACTGATTCACTTCAGGCAACAGCTGATGCTGAGATTAAGGGTCTGGTTTTGTTTTCATGTTGAACCCAACAAATTCAATGCAGAGTGTGTCAGATCAATGAGACAGAAATCACATCTACGGTCTCATCAGAGTCTCTCATTGACTTTTCATAACCACATTTCACTTTGTACTTACAGATGGTTTTACCACTGCTTTGGGACTTCTCAGTGCAGATATGACAAGAGCTAACCCATAGGTCTAACTGTTCTCATGGCATGGATCTCTCATTTCATTTGCATGGGATCTAGGCAGATGCTCTGACACAGCACAGCCTGTAAATCATGTTGGCTTCGAGATACTTGCGTTTGTGACATCCATGACGGAGTTTATGGGTTTGTATTCTTCCTGTGGAATAATAGGTACTGTGAATTTAAGTTCACATAACCCCCTGCCTTTTCAGTGAATAGTTAATTGTCAAGCCCAAAGAGTTGTGACTAAAAAGATTCCTCAAATCTTAAGAGTCATGAACAGGACTTGCAGCCAGCACGTAGAAAAGCCAAGGCTCAATGCAGCAAGCAGAGCCTTGGTCCTGCTGCTTTGTGGGCGTTGGATGAGCAGTTACCAATACTGGAACAGGCAACTTTTAAAATACAAATTAAAGTCCTGCCGCTCTCACAGGGTCTATTGACTCCACTAGGACCACCTGCATGCAGGAACCTGCCTCAGCCTCTCCTTTTGCAGGGCTGATCCTAGCAGCTATTTTCAAATCAACTTCATTAATACCTTTAATTACTATTTATCACAAATAGCTTGCAGTTTGCCACTATGATGGGCATGTTGCTGCATCACTCATATCCGTATTTGTTCTGAGCATCATTTAGTGTGTTTTTGTTACGATAGATTTTTGCTTGCTGTGGAAGCCTTTGATTTTGCAATGCTGTGGTGACGGGAGCGCTGTCCTGTTGTTTATACATTGCCATGTGCTTGCTCCAGGGACATTGTGCACAGTGTATCCACAAGCATGCATGCCTGCTTTCAGTGGGATCTGATGCCAACGAAAACACATTCTTCGAAGAGATAGGTTATTACTTAAGACTTTGTTACAGCAGGAC